AACATTTAGCAAAAATGTGCCATAAAAGTGTCGTCATTTAAACGTAGTCGGTTGACGTAATTTAGATATGAGACTGGCTTCAAGCAAATTCCGGCCGAAACCTGAATTAATTTAGGTAAAAATCATGCAATTGATGGGCCAACCGGTAATTGCATTCAAACGTTTAATCTAATCAGCCCTAATGGTTGGTCGGCTCGTCGAGATGCGTCACTCAATTAGGCCAATCAGACGCCAAGACAACTGATTTTCAATACTCACACCAACTGGCTCCTGTTCGGCCCATAAAAGCTTTCTTTTCCGGGTTCCACAGGAAGAGTTTGAACGCTTCCATGCCAGTAAGGCGCTTCTTGCCGTAGTTGTAGAAGCGCGTTTGCTCTTCCAGGATTTCATCCTGTTTGCTCAGGACTTTTTCGTGGGCCATCGTGCAACTAGCTGGAAGAAGGACACGTTTTAGAGCGCACTGACTGTTTGACTGAAGAATGAGAAAAAAGTGGATTAAAGTGCGGCCAATGGGATGGCGAGTAGGTGGCTGCAGGCCGGATATTAACAATTTTCTATGTGAATGGGCCTCAACGTCGCCAGTGGCGGGTTCACCAGTTGCGAGCAATTGAGGCTTAGAAAGGGGAATTTTTTCTTGGATATCAAAAGAAATAGATTTTCGAGACCATTGCTTGGAACTAATGGGTTTTTAGGCTGTCGTTCGGTCGAATTTCTTCTTCACGTTTCGCAAGCACGAGTGGCTTGCATCTTCAGAAGTGGTTTGTGTTAGTTCTCATCAGAACTTCTCTCAGAACTCAGAAGAAGAAAGTTCTGAGAGAAGTTCTGATGAGAACTAACCCAAACCACTTCTGAAGATGTACTCGTGCTTGCGAAACGTCAAGAAGAAATTCTACCGAACAACGGCCTAAAAACCCGAACATTTTTGGGGACTTAAACATTCGCGTTTTTTCTTCTAATATAAAAAATTTCACTTTATTAACTGCGCTTGATCAGATTTGATAAATTTT